CCGAATTAATTTAATATAAATGGTTTAGATACTGCTGCTGTGTACCTGTGATCTCCAGACTGCTGATATTCTGGAAGGTAGAACCAACCTGACTCTTCACGTTCACACTGCGAGCCTGAAAAAAGAAAACGCCAAACACACATTTCTTATTATGCCATCTGGTTGAGTGTGTGTTAGTGTGTGTGTGTGTGTGTGGTGCCCATACCTTCAGTGTGTGCATCGTAGCTCCTCTGAAAGCGATGGGAGCCAGCAGGGTTGGGGGTAACCCAGCCTGGGAACCCGCTGCCGCCACCACGCTCTTACAGTTGATGAGGAAGTTGATGAGGGTGAAAGTGTGAGGCCCCTCCACACACACCACTGACTCTGGTTTGTGGTCCAGAGACACGGTGCGACTCTCCTTCCGACTAGAACTAGCGGTCAAGGAGCTTTGACTCTTATTGCTTGTTTTCCATTAAACACGAGATGCAGTGCGGCTCGATTAGCACGAGCAGAGCTACGAGTTGTCACACAGAAAACTATGGGGATACAGTTGGATGCTGATGCTGTCTGGCTTCTTGATTTTGTCCTCGATTCCCATCTCCTTCAGCCAGGAGAAGCTGCTGTCATCGTCGTCGTTATATCCGTCTTCTCCTCCCTCGTCCTCCTCCTGACACGCCGCGCCTTCAGTCGGCTCAGAGCACCTACAATCACAATTACGTGATTACAATTTATTATCTATGATAAATAAAAATTGGTATGGTATTTCAGCGTGTGGATTTATGTTGAGTAAAGACGAGATAAAGCAGATACAGATAATCAGACTCACCCCTCCGATTTCCCATCCTGCCCATCCAGGTTCTGTTGGTCCTTGCTCTTCCTCCTCTCCTCCACTAGAGGGAGACTGAACTCTATACCTGAAGTTAAACAAATACAAATACAAAACGTGACTTCATATAACAGTGGTTTTCTTGTACTTCCATTACATTTTTGTTTGATTAAATGAAAAAGAAACGAAATAAGGGAGAAAGGCTGTTGGTGTTATAT